TTCGCAGGGATTTCCGCACCACTCATAAATCTCACGAAGGACGCCGAGAGGTTCGAATGGGCCGAGGAACAGCAGCAAGCATTCGACGAGCTGAAGCGACGACTCCAGACGCCTCCGGTTCTTGGACATTTCGATCAGGATGCGCACACCGAGATTCACACTGACGGAAGTAACGCAGGACTCTGCGCGGTACTAGTTCAAGTACAAGAAGGCACCGAGCGAGTCATCGCTTACGCAAGTCGGACACTGTCCAAGGCAGAGAGAAATTACTCCACGACTGAGAAAGAATGCCTTGCGGTCGTCTGGGCAATTACGAAGTCTCGTCCGTACTTGTACGGAAGCCCGTTCCGCGTAGTCACGGACCACCACTCGCTCTGCTGGCTTGCGAACCTCAAGGACCCGTCAGGACGCCTCACTCGATGGAGCCTCCGGCTACAAGAGTTCAACATGACTGTGGTTTACAAGTCGGGACGCAAGCACAGCGACGCTGACTGCCTGTCCAGGGCCCCTGTCGAAACACCTCCCGGCAGCAGCGACGACGATGACGACGAGTGCTTCCTAAAGGCAGTGAACACCGATGACATGGCACGACGTCAACGAGACGATCCGGAGCTGCGCGCCTTAATGGAGCACCTGGAAGGGCGCGCGAGTACCGTGCCCCGTGTTTTCTCACGAGCCCTGCCAACCTTCGCCATTCGACAAGGTGTACTTTACAAAGAGAACTTCGGGGACAAAAACTCGCCGTGGCTGCTGGTAATCCCGACCGACCTTCGAGAGGAGATCTTTCAAGCATGTCACGACGACCCGACGTCCGGACACCTTGGATACAGCAGGACATTGGCCCGTATTCGTGAAAAGTATTACTGGCCCAAGCTCCCCAAAACCGTCCACCACTACACCCGAACCTGCCACGAGTGTCAGCGACGCAAGAAACCGCCGACAAAGCCGGCAGGTCTCCTGCAGCCAATTCCTCCGCCAACTGCACCGTTCCAGCAGATTGGAATGGATCTACTTGGTCCTTTTCCGCCGTCGACCCTGGGAAACCGTTGGATAATCGTCGCCACAGTTTATCTCACGCGGTACGCAGAAACGAAAGCCCTTCCTTCGGGGACTGCGGTTGAAGTCGCCAAGTTTTTCCTCGATTCCATTGTCCTCCGGCACGGCGCTCCCGAAGTTCTGATTACAGATCGCGGATCGTCGTTCATGGCACAGCTGACCCAAGAAATTCTCCGGCTCAGTCACACCAGCCACCGTCGTATACCACCGCATACCACCCGCAGACCAACGGGCTGACGGAGCGACTCAACAAGACAATCGCCGACATGATCTCTATGTGCGTCGACGTTGAGCACAATTAAGACGTGGGACGAGGTCTCGCCCTACGTCACGTTCGCCTACAATACGGCGGTTCAAGAGACCACTGGATTCACACCTTTCCAGCTGGTACATGGTCGGAAGGTAACGACCATGCTGGACGCAATGCTGCCCCATGAGCCATCTGACAGTGAGAGCGACGACGCCCAGGCGGTTGCTCAACGCGCCGAAGAAGTCCGCCAGCTCACCCGACTCATGATTCAAGACCAGCAACGCGTCGACGCGGGCCGCTACAACCTTCGTCGCAGGGACGTTCACTTCCAGCCCGGAGACAGGGTGTGGGTGTGGACGCCCATCCGTCGCCGCGGCCTCAGTGAGAAACTGCTGAAACGGTACTTTGGACCATACAAGGTACTTCGTCGCCTCGGCGAGCTGAACTACGAGGTGATGCCCGACGGAACACGAACATCGTCACGCCGCCCACCACGACCTGAGGTCGTCCACGTCGTGCGACTGAAGCCGTATTACGCTCGATAGGACTGTGGACCTTATGTGTTCCAAATGACCCTTTAGTTTACCGTTCCGTTTTATTTGCTTCGTTTTGTTTTTGGATTGCATCGGGACGATGCACTTTTTAAAGCGGGAGTAATGCCGCGCGCGCAGCTGGCCAACTAGGCAGCGAGCGCGTGGCCTAACGGTTATCGCGCTTGCCTCCCACGCAGAAGGCCAGGGTTCGATTCCTGGCCGCGACTACACATTTTTGTTGACAGTGTAATTTGATGTTCTAGTGAATTCGAGAACCGTCTTGCTGATTCGAGGTTAGAATGTTCTACGCACCAAACCTTCTACGCCGAACGAGAAACCCACGGGGTACAAAGGGATTCCGCAAGGCGAGCGGGGTCAGTTTCGCCCCAGCGTTCGACTCTGCTGTTACGCCGACTTCGACGCCCGCTACGCTCTCTTATTAACTTTTGTACCCTTTTATTTTTGGCACAAGTTCGCCACATTAAACGTTTATTTATTCCTGTTTATTTCTTGTTTATTGGTCACCACCCGTGACACTATAGCTGTCCTCTTCTTTGAAACCGATTTATTGCGTAAAGAGTCGAGCTTCAATATAGTCCCATGATTTAAAATTATTTTAAACAATTTTGAATATGAATACAAAAAAAAATTCCGCTTATGGTAAACCAGCTTAGTTCCTCTAGCATACAACTAAAATAAATTAGGTCAGATGTCAGAGTGCTGTCCTAGAAAACCAAGAACGCGTGAAGGGAATTCTTCGTAATTTTATCACAATCAAGTTGTGTTTATACAAGAAAACGGGTGACGTTGCATTTCTAATATTTTATATGCTGAGTTCCTATGTTTACCAGGAGCATGCCCTTAAATTTCGTTGCTGCGTTATGATATGGAACTGAGTTACGAGACTTCAAAATCGCATAAAAAAGGTTCATTTTTAATAAATATTAAGGAATGCGAGTGTGCTGATTAAGAAAAGCACGTATACACGGAACTAGACGAGTCCTTCATCGATTCAATAAAACATTGAGAACGCGTCTTTGAAAATATCAAAACTTGCACTTTTTGTTCTCTTATTGTGCGTTAAGTTTTGAAACATGCGTATCATATTTTGCACTAAAAGAATGATGATGAAATGGCAATTTATTTGCAAAAAAAAAAATCGAAATACGTAATATGCGCACAGACGCGACATTTGCACCGCAAACAGGAGCGTTAGCACAGCTGCCACCGGTATTATAGTTGGGGCCGTGGGACCGCCTCCTTAACTAAGAACAGAAAACCATGTTTAAATTTTATTTTATTATTTCTTTTTTTTTTTTTGGGGGGGGGGGGGAGGGTTACATTATGCACATTAAACGATTAAAAACTTTCAGGGTGAATTCATTTTCAGCCTGGCTGCGCAGTACACACTGCTGTTTCACCAACGCAAAGTATCCCAATCCAAGCAAGGCGGCGACGAACCACCAACTCTGACAAGACGGCTGAACACGATCCGCTCTTACACTGAACTCTGATCGTGTTGGACGATTGGAGTCAGCGAAAACCTACCGGCATCCAGCGTTGCTCTTTTTTTTTTGTGTGTGTGTTTGTACGTGATATGGTCACAGAGTAAGGCGAAGAGACGATTAATAGTGAACTGAAAGAAAGGTTTAATCGGCAAACTTGTGGCAAACAAAATAAAGACCGAGCGTCGAGACAGCAGAAAAGCGGGCGGCGAATTGGCGGCGCAAGCGACAGCGAGACTGACTCGACGAAGTTCCGCGCAACTCTTTATATAGTGTGCGGCAGCTTTTCGAAAATTCAGCCCGGAAGGTTCGAGCGTTCGGGGGGGGGGGGAGAATAAACAGGCACTTTCGAGAACAAGAAAGTAGGACGACATGGTAAAAGTTCCGTCCCGAGAAAGAAGAAACACGAATATTCTAGAAGTACGTCTACTTCTAGAAGTAGGGGACGTAAACAGGAAAAAAGGAAGGAATATTGGGTATGATGATTCACGGGGCAGCTCGTTGTTATTCGAGGATAGAACAGGAGTATTCAGGACTAGGACATATAACACAAAGTACGAGGCAATTGATACGCATGTGCCGTATGCCAAAGAGGAAGACGAGACAATAGAACACCTGAGGTGCAAAGGGCTTGCTCCCGCCCTCCCGGAGAGGGTGACGGATTTATCCAGAGCGCTGGGATTTGCAGACGAGAATGGAAGAATGGACGATAATTGCATTTTAATAACAAAGAGGAGATTGGAAAACTGGCGGAAATTATCTATGGAGAATTGAGTGACGTACAACTGACTGACACAGCAGGGCACAGGCGGGACAAAGGAAAACTGGGACTGCTTCCCGCGTTTCTCTGGCCCTGTCTCCCAGTGGGCCCGGTGCCGGGGTACCGTGCATTACCGCCAAAGCTACAGGGGAGAGAGTGCATCCCGACCAGTTCAAGAGGAGGAAAAGGAGGGAAAGGGGAATCCCAGCCCTTTTCTCACGTTCGTCCTTTCCCTCCTCTTGAACAGGTTGCCATATGCTCTCTTCCCTCTAGCTTTGGCAGTACTGCACGGTTTTAGTGAGACGGAGTACAGGTCTGACCAGAGGAAAATTGGCGACTCCCTCGCCGGGGGATGTTGCTTTTAGTTTTTTTTCGCCCAATCCCCCGAAGGTCATCCGGCTGATAGTTATGAAATTGCAGAGTTTAAGTGTGATGTACCGGTTAATTTGGGATAATGCAAGGATACATTGATATTACGAGAAGCGCTTTTTCTAGTCTGCGACCGCGCCCAGTCTGTGGCTTCCAGGCATCCCGTGCTTTTCCGTGGCTCGCCGCTCGGCTCTCTCCTGCCGGTATCTCCAATTGCATCCGCCCTTGTTTCGGCTCAATAGGTCCTGTTCGCTATACGTTGCGAACACGCACACAATACACGGCAGTAAGCAACCTGACAAAGGGAAGAAATCACTTTTGGTTCTTAATTTCTAGGCTAGGCGGCACAAGCTACCGCCCTTTATCAAGGATACAGCCAATAGCATTCATCCATCTAGGATATCCGGATTTCAACATTGAGCATTAATCACCCCAATCCAAATCGCAGCGAATGAACTCCAAAACATCTTTATTTAACTCCGTGAAAAACAAAACAATTCTCTAACATGCATACAGTTTTTGGGGTGTTCCTGCATGTAATCATTCACAAGTCATGTAACTAATGTGTCTTCTTTCCAGGTGCACGGTGAAACAGACTCGGACAGTGTTCCCCAAGTGGAATTCTGCCGCTTCTTACTCAGATGTTTGACTTGCTCCTTGTGATTCCATCAATACATCACGAATATTAGTCAAAATCGGGAGTACTGCTCTAACAGCGTCATCTGAGACATCACCCAACAAAAGGGTATCTAATATGTCTTGCGCGTAAAACATACTCTCTTCTTTTACCAAGAGCCAAGTGCGACGTCCGGAACATGGTGATCCCGGGCCCACCACTGACGACACAGCTTCGTCTGGGGAAGCGAGAGGAGGTTGACCGGTCACGGACTTCCCGCTTGTCGGATGACGGCCCTCGTGGCGGTAATGGTTCTTCTGGTAAGTCACCTTGATGCCGTCAGCATTTATGACCTTGAGCATTACTGAGAGACAGTGCTGGCCGCTTGAGTTGCACTGACGGTGACTGGCAGGCAGGCCTCTCTTATCTTCTCCCTTGTGCTGGTAACATCGATAAAACTGCATGCTAGCACCACTTGCTCCTTCCACCTTTTTGAGGTTGCAAATATAGCTCACCCCTCCCTCCTCTTCTTTCTTCTTTTTCCAGAGCAGGAATTCTGTAATGATAGAACATTGAAGCACATTTAATCTACGTGGAAACTACGAATGATGATGACACCAACACATACAGTGATGGAATGTACGAAAACCAGAGATGATTTTCACCCGTGAATGGTCTGGTGTGACTATGGCTTCCTGTTTGAGCTATCTACTGGCAAAGGAAACACGCATCTGCCCGACAAAAGTAAATAATAAAAAAAAAGCCTCTCGAAATTGCCCTGTAACTGCGTTGCTACGGGAATAGTTCTTCGTTTAGCGGTAGTAACCTTCAGGCCTTTCTTCTCGAGCTGCGCCTCCAGGGCCGGTTTGCTCATCTTGCGGCTGCGGTCGCAGCTGCGGCCAGGAGGGATTTTTACGTCACGTGACCAGCCCCATGGGGACAAGGAAGTACCTAGCATCCCTGCCTAATGGCGGAGTGATCCGCATCGCTTCAAGCACAAAAGCCTAATTTCGCTAGCAGAAACTGATTGCAAGGACTTTCATCTTGAGTCCAATTGACTGCCCCTTTATACTGTAGGAGCGGCAGGTAAAGTTACGGCCAGGGAGGGTAAATAGGAGCCAAAATAAAGAAGAAACTACGAGATAAAAGCGGTAGCAGTATGTTTATATACCTCCGCCGGCGCCGGCGCCTCGCGCCTGCTGTTATGGTAGAGAGGTTAAAGCGCCAGTACGGTTCAAATCGCGCTAAAATTTTTTTTTCTTTTTTTTTTTTTTTTTTTTACATATTGAGCGTGTCTTACTTTTTAGATGTGATCCTTTTTAGGAAATCATCCCCTTGCCCTACTGCGCCTTACACGGTTTTTACTGTTAGTCCCACCTGTTCAATCGAAACACCGGGAAAAAAAAAAAAAAAGATCACCGCAAGTTAACGCGCTAATACAATCACTTCATTCCATTTGTTGATCCAAAGTCATTTTAGGTGTTTTCATTAGAGAGAGGGACCTAAAATGACTTTAAATCATAAATGGAATTATATATAATGAATTCCATTTGTTGTTCCAAAGTCATTTTAGGTGCTTGCATTAGTGAGAGGGTTTGCAATGTCGGCGCCTGATTCATTTTTGCATTCGGTCATGATCGTCCGCTAATCTAACTAAAATTCAACAAGTAATGTGTTAATATTACAAAACGATTGCCACAACAAAATGTAAAGAGTATAAATATACTTTTTATCACATTCCATGCAAGTAAAAGTATGATCTCTTTTATTTCGGTTTTACTACTTTCTAAGACGTTTGACTTGCTGCCTTGCCTGTAGGATTTCGCTCAAGCAGTGTAGCCACAGTTGCTAGTCTTTTTTTTTATTTTTGCTTGTCTTTTTTAATTGTCACAACGGCAGTTTTTATTAGTCCTAAATAGGCGTCTCTTGCTACTGAAAGGAATCGCAGCAAGAGCGTTATTTAAAAACATAAAACTGTAAATGCTGGGGAAAGGATGCTTGTTTCGGCTCCGTTTGTGTGAAAGCCATAGTGATGCTGTTATCTTGGTTTCCTTTTAATGAACATTATGAAATGATCCTTTTTTTTTCTTCCCGGTGTTTCGATTGAACAGGTGGGACTAACAGTAAAAACCGTGTAAGGCGCAGCAGTGCAAGTGAATGATTTCCTAAAAATGATCACAGTTAAAAAGTAAGACACTCGCAAAATTCAAAAAAAAAAAAAAAAAAGAAAAAAGAAGTCCCTAGTGCGATTTGAACCCGGAACTTTCACGCCGCGACGACAAGTACCGGCGCTTTAACCAAAGCGCGAGGCGCCGGCGCCGGCAGATAAATATACTGCTACCGCTTTTATCTCGTGTGGTTTTTTCTTTATTTTGGCTCCTATTTGCCCTCCCTGGCCGTAACTTTACCTGCCACTCCTACAGTATAAAGGGGTGGTCAATTGGACTCCAGTTGAAAGTCCCTGCAATCAGTTTCTGCGAGCGACATTAGGCTTTTGTACTTGAAGCGATGCGGATCTCTCCGCCATTAGGCAGGGACGCTAGGTACTTCCTTGTCCCCATAGAGCTGGTCACGTGACGTAAACTTCCCTCTTGGCCGCGGCCGCAGCCGCAAGATGAGCAAACCGGCCCAGGGGTGCTTTGTTGCGCTTTTTGAACTCCCAGGAGACTAGGGAGAAGGAAGTGACGTCAACGACACAGCAAATGCAGATTGGATGTTGACAGAAGAAAACGAAACCAACACCCAATCTGCGTTTGCTGCGTTATTGACGTCACTTCCTTCTCCCTAGTCTCCTGGGAGTCCAAAAAGCGAAACATAGCACCCCAGGTCTCTCCACTCCTCTCCACCCCATTGACCCGCTGACTACCCCCATCGGGTCGGCCTGTGTCCATAGAGTACGGGGAATGCAGTGATGGAAGCAAGATTTGACGTTTTGTGGAAGGTTTGTAGCAGGCAAAATATTTGTTCCGAGCAGTCACTGACGCTTCTGGAGCAGATGCCAACATTTGTTAGCACATCACTTGAGAAGGAAAAAGTGATTGCATTTCTAAATGAGTTCATTTAGGATAGTGATTAAAGGTTCCTCTTTGATACTCGGGCATATTACTTATTACCGTTTGTGACAATAATGGAGTTTGTGAAAATAATGGATGGAGTTTGTGAAAATAATGGATAGGGCGTAAAAGGAGCACAGTATTCTTAGATAAGGCTTTAGTCAGAGTAGCTTTCATTTACAATGGGTATTAAAAGATGGTTGAAAAGTGAATCATAGCGCAACACTTCATTGGGATGAATCCTCCCTCCCTTCTCCATTTTACACTCGGTAGTTTGTTTACCCTATAAAAAAATAGTTTCTGTGAAGTGCCAACAGGACCCAGCATATCGGCTAGCCCGTCTACCAATAGGAATGTGTCCCCCGCAAGTTTAATGAACCTACGAAACTAAAGACTCTAATATCATAATTTGCAAAAACAACCACCCAAATATATTATAAAAGCCTACATTCAGGGCTTAAAGGTGGCGTAGCTTTTTAGCGGCGGAGAAAACCAGATGCTACGTCAAAGTTCGCTGCTCTTTCAATCGACAGCTGCACGGGAACTACATTGACTACCGTATTTATTCAAATATATATCCAGTCTCGGGGGCAGTCTGTAATAATCCTGAGCATAATTGGAGTGCCTATCGTTATGGTGCCTGGAACGCGTCTCCGACTGGTCTGTTTACCGCGGCCAAAAAAGTGGTCCCTCGATTTCCGCCTGATGACGTCATAAAAGTGTCATGCTGTCGCCGGTCGCGATCCTGGCGGCGCTCCAACAGCTGTGGTTTATGTCGAAGACGCCTGTTCTACTGCAGGTCCCTCTCTACTTCGACAGTCCACGGAAGCTACTGCAGCAGGAAGTTGGGACGCCTGGGACGCCGTGACCACAGCGGCATTCGCGTTCGCTCGTGCTTTTCGCCAGCATTTCTACGGCCAACCGCCAGGATCGCGACAAGCAACAGCATGACACTCCGGCTTCTGTGACGTCATTTGTTGCCACTTTGGGACCACTTTTGATCTATGGGCGGGATAGGACGCTAAACACACCAGTCGGAGACGCGATCCAGGCACCATACAATCGTGCTAAGCCAGGCACTCCCCCAGGTCAGTCACTGCTCCTAGCACTCCTGTGCAAAGCGGTGAAGCTTGACGCGCGCACGATGGTGAGAGGCGGTGAAAGTAGGTGCGAGAGGTGCAGGTGACGCGGTACTCTGCAGCCACAGAATGAAGACATTGGGCAGACACGATAATCGAGTGATCTTATCGGGACTAGTATAAGACCCTGGATCTGTTTTATCACAGTAGCCGCAATCGGCAGTCCTACTATTTTGCAAAGTTTTCTCGGGACTCTTAGTTCCTGACATCAACGACATCATCGGGAGATACAGACGATGTCGGCGATCGACCAGCCAGCACACCAATCGGCCAGAGCGGTTGATGCCCGGCATCAACGGCTCTGGCCGGTTGATTTGCAGCATCAAAGTGCGACATTGTGGCATTCGTCACCTTGTACGTGTTCTTTCATAGGCCAAACCAATCAAGGTCAGCAAACGTCCCGTGACTTGCACTTTTAGTATGTGTGTTTGTGGTTGTATGTGTTCGAGCCTTTGGCTGGTGCTCTGACCTAAGACGAAACGAACTATACGGTGAGTAGAGACGCTGTGAAATTCATATTTGTACAATTTTTCTTTCCTTCTACTGCTCTGAATATTAAAGGGGTCATGAAACGCTTTTCCAACTTTTTCCTGTTTCGCTTTCCTCCTCAACTCATAGATCGCGCATTCCACCAAACAGTTCAAGAAGACGAAAAGAAGCGAGGCCCCTCTCGCTCGGAGAGAGCCATTGTCCCCCTAGAAGATTAGCCCGTCGCTCAAAACTCGGACAAAAGTTTCTTTCCCTCCCCCGTTCACCCCTAAGCTGACAGTGCTGTGGAAGCTACGTGCTCCTTGGGCTGGCCACACTTTTGCCACGTGAACGTGGCAAATGTGGCTGCAGAGAATGAGGTCAGGTGATGAAACGGAGGCGGCTGATTGGTCCGGCAAGCGCGTAGCTTCCACCACAATGTCAGCTTAGGGGTGAAGGGACTAAATAAGGTCCGGTTTCATGTGACGTCAGTTTGGACCCGATGACGCGCTTTTGGGACCGCGGATGTATCACAGTGAAAAGGCAGAGAGGTTACGAAGGGGAGGAGGTACGAAATAGTCCGCTGTGTTTTCAAATTTTCGCACTGAAAGTCAGGCTTTTGACTTTCTACCTTTTTTCTTTTGGCCCACTGAACGATGTGCTATTAGAAAAATCCCAATCTAAAATGATTTATCCCAACCCAAAAATCGTTTCATGGGCCCTTTAAAGTCGACCAATAACAGTTCAAATATATATATATATATATATATATATATACAGTAGTGAACAAAAAGATATGACATTTTGTTCCTTTTACAGAAGCATTGCTCGACGTCTAATGAATAGCCAATAATATTTAGTTTTGAACTTTTGATATGATACACCATAAAGCAGCCTTTTTAGCCACCACGGGTCGGTTGTTGCGACACTGTATCACAGTTCGAAGAAAAGTTACCCACGTAAAACCGAAATATATCTTTTTGTTCACTACTGTATATATATAGACGATTGCAAGCAGGGCATCTGGACGCCGCCATGTCTCTGCTCGTGCTGGCAAGGGCGTGCAATTACAAGCTTGCCAAAGCTACGTTCACGCACGCCCTGCTCATGCTTGCACGCATGAAGGGTCAGTGAGACGCCATGCTTGCAATTGTTTATAGGGTGTTTCAGAGAACTCAGGCCCAGATCGCTCCTGCGAAAACTACTTATCGCAACGAAAAAAGCTTGTGTCGTTTTGGCCCTGGGCCAGGGGCCCATTTACGAAAATCATTAAAGTCCGGGATAATTAACATGTTAAATATTTTTGCGTAATTCACTTTTTTTAATATTGTGTTTAAGGGCATGGTTTCAATTAGTTCTCAGCATCATCGAAAAACATTAAATCAACAAATTGCAGAACGATAGAAGGAACGTGCATAATTTATTTGTGCGGTTTTTCAGAGAGGCGTAAAATGGGCGACCGGAAGAAAATGTGGTACTTTCGCGAGTTATTCGTTAACTGAAGCTGAATCATGCGGTCAATCGTGAATGCCTGTGTTGTCGCTTATCTCACCAACAAAATAAGCCAAGCCCCCCCCCCCCCCCCCCCCCCCCCCCCCCCCCCCCCCCCCCCCCCCCTTTCCCTGTTCCGTTATCGGACTTTAGAAGGTCCTAGTGCAACAATTGGTACGAGCTCCGTTCTGAGGCTTCTACACGGGCGATATTTTTGTGGGACCATTTTTCCCTACCTTGAAGTTGGGACTATTAGAAACTTGCCGTCAGCACGCGATCAACAGCGACGCTTCCACCTTCAACTTTACGAAAGGGTTGTAGAAACTTGCCGTCAGCGCGCGATCAACAGCGACGCTTCGCTTCTCGCAAATTATAAATCTACAAAAAAAAAAAAAAAAAAAAAACGCTGGATATTGACAAAAGAGTTCTATCTTGATTTAAAGTTAAACCAAAAGTGCAAAAGTAGGCCGCGCGCCGCTCTTGTCTGACAACAAAGAACGGCGCCGGCGTGATCTCATTGTTATCTCTGGCTGCTGTGAACGCCGACAATAAGATTACACCATCTAATGCACCTAACTGGGAGAAAGCTTACCGTTTTCTGACCGGAAGGTGAGCTGGACGCAGTCTGCCACGAACCCGTGAGCCGATTCGTGATGCATGACGAGTTCAACCATGCTGGAAAAGCTGGAGCAGGTATTGCCACACCGATCGCAACTCACTGAAGGGGCTAAACCACTCCAGCCGTGAGCACATCTTGCGTGACATAGCATACGTTTTCGAGAAGCGAACACTTTCTTGCAGTTAGTGCAAGTTGTGTTAGTCGGATTGCAATAAATTCCAGAAACGCAGCACGAAAACCCATCCGCCATTTTTGAAACCGGCGGAAAAGAGTCGCGGATTGTGTTGGATTGGATGTAAACACCTCGCTGGTTTGCTGGTGCAGCCGCTCAGTTGGCTCCTCGGCTCATGTTGAAGAAACGCTAAGACCGACTTTAATATTACATAAAAGTAAAAATAAAACCCAAACATTATGATATAAAAAGTTAGTGGACTTCTAAGGTTCAAAATATGTCTAAAGTCATACCGAGGCAACCGAGGCGAGCAAGGTCTCGGAGCCGAGATGAGCTGTTGCAAGAGTCAACACAAGCCAAACAATAGCCGAGTGGCCGAGTTAGTGGAGTTAGCCGAACATCGCCGACATCATCGCTCCAGAAGTTGGGGAAACGTGAGCAACACGCGAAACCATTATGAAAGTACTCGACGAAAGTAGCCTGTTTACTCGGACGCAGTTATTGTGATGAGATAGCTAGATATTGGTGTAGCAAATTTGTTGACTTTGATTACTTCGTGCCGTATCTCTTGCCAAGAAGAGAAGTAAGTACACTGTCGAAAATCCTAATACTCAGTTGTAGGTAAGAAATTTAGCCATTGCAGTACCACTGCCACTCTGGTGCCTTAAACGTGCAGCACGGAAGAGTAATACACGACACCACGCCGGTACGCTGCTCATCCAGATCAGAACGAACAGGGGGTATTGAACCCAGGATACCTGGGTTCTGCAGCGCGAACTTTCGCTTCACGAGCTCCGAGCTACGGTCCGTTAACGGATTCGACCGCTGGTCCCCTCACGATAGTCCTTTTCCCTCTCTGTAACCAGGAGTTTCAAACTTTCCTTTTCAGTGGAGAACTACACGAAAGGCGAAGTAATTGAAGAAAGTCCAAGCTCTTTGCCCTTTAAAGACCTCCAAGAGGGCTTCGTGCACATGAAAGTTCAACCGAGCAGCAAGCTCAGAAACATTCTTGAATTCTCCAAAAAGGCATTTCAAGTAAGGCCAGTATTTGAAGGCGTGTCATCTACACTTGTTTACCAATTGTACAACTCTTCCCAAAAGGTTACATAAAGGCAACCTGCTTGCACGCATCTTTTTATATCGTTGCCATCACCTTACGTCACACCAATCATCTGTTGACCTACTTTATATTATACAACGCAGGATGAATCAAAGAAGCACATGGTATTCTCCGGTTCTGGTCATGCACTTGGAAAGACGATCACCTGCGTAGAGATCATGAAGCGAAAACACAAGGTATACCATTTTCTTTGCTTTGAATTGCTCGCACAGAATACATATTCTAAACAATGCTATCATGGCCAAACACAACTAGGTGACTGGTGCGCGACCGAAAAAATCCGCCTGGTCCGGGTATCGAACCCGGGACCTCTCCATTTCCAGTGGAGCGCTCTACCAACTGAGCTAACCAGGGGTTAGACGTCAGTAGAGCAAACAGGTTTTATTAGCTGCCACTAGTCTAACACCAACAAGGGTGAAAGGCCTGTGTTTTAAGGTTATGGTTATGCATTCCCTTTTTCCTTTTGCATCAAGTTGCTACTCAACATTGCAACTACAATATCTCAAATGCCGTTATCTTCGTTAATTTGTTGTGCTACCCTATCTACCTGTACATGGCTTGCATGTGACATTGCACCATGCCAATGGTCATCCCTTGTGGCCCAGAAAAATGATTTCGGTGGTGCAAAATGAATTGTGAAGAACCTTGCTACATGCGGCAGCAAGGTTCTTCACAATGGCTGCTGATATGACATCAGTGCAAGCCATATATTGGTGATGAGATGTCTTGGTGGTGCCACTTTCTCGTGTGCTCTCCAATGACGAACTGGTCAGATGCGAGCAGACATGCTATGTCGGCACGGAGTAGCTATGTTAGTTTGCATCTGTGCACATTAAAAACGGTTTATTTATTAAAGAAACGTGTATGACATTTTTGCGAGTGATCTTTCTAATGAATAACAGCACCTTGATGTTGCTTTTTATATTAAAAAGCTTTAAATGTCCAAAAACAAGCCTGGAGCTTCACAGTACAGCTTGCACAGCCTTTCCGATTCTTGTTTTTTTTTTTATCTGTGGAGGTTGCTGTAGAGAAAAGTTTTGCATATTCACCGGAGTAAATGATGTGCTGTCTTCTTAGCTGTGCACATGCACACAGTTGTGTTGCAAAGCACCCCACACTTGTTCTAGCTACAGTGAGCTTGCCAATACCAACACTTCTATTCATGTGTGACTCGACAGTTGGTGACTAGCAAATGCTCGTCAACAACTGACGCTTAGCTTCTCCCGCGTCGAATACATGGCAATGAAGTTTGTCACATTGCGACTTCTGCTCAAAAGAAAAGCATAAATTTCCATAAATTCTTAGACTGTCAGACATTGCCCGGCACATCATGCATTATGCGCATTTGTGTTCCCAAAATTAAACAAATGGTAGTAATTCATAGCAGGTATATACCTCATTTATTGGGACACTGAAGTGTCAACGACTTGCTAGATTTAAGACTTTGATTGCAAGGGTGTCTCGCACGTTTTTGCGTCGACCGGGTGAATATGCAGAGATTTAATTGAAACGACTCCGAAAGCCAGCCACCACTTTTTCCTGTCAGTTATCTTGATGAAATGTTTGTTTATTGGTTTACAAAATGCAAAAAGGAATCAACTTGGAACTAAAAGGAGACCAGCATTCACAGAACGCATTGGAAATAGACCTGTACACGTTACCCCCAAAAAGGTAGCTGGTAAATACCGTTACTCGCTCAAAAAGTAACTAAATATGTTACTTATGACCGATCCCTAGAAGGAACGCGTTACTTTACCTTAAAAATAGAGAGATGCCTTTCTTCTTACTTTGATGACCAAAGACAGAACTGCTTTTGTACTTGATTGTTTTCTTTTTTGAGTAGTCGTTGCATTTAAGCAGTAGCTGGCTCTCGAAGTTTTCATCAGTTACGCTTCCCCGCTTCATAGAGAATACATCTCTGGCGACGCTGAAGAGTAGTTCCACTGACCGACTCAAAGAAATGGCAGTGTTGTGCTTCAGGAAAAGCTGGTGAATCTGGGATTCCCCTTTCTCTTTTGTTCCCTCCAGTCCTAAAGTTCTAAGTTGACATAGGGTTTTGTGCCTTCTCACGCTGGCAACCTCTGGCATTACATTTGGTCTGTACACAATTCTAGAATGTTCAATTGGCAAAACTTATTGTTTTCGCTGGGTGAAGGGCATTCCCAGCTGTAGAGCTTGTCTGGCGTGTTCAGCAATATACATTCTTATACTGCCATACTGTTTAGTTGTTTTCGGGTTGCCCATCTGCCTTTGTAGCAATAGACGCATACTCATTTCATTTCATTTCATTTCATTTCATTTATTGTTCTCTCAGGGCCCGAAGGCATTACAGAGAGGAGTGAACGGAAACATATGAGTATAACGATACATAAGGCAAGACATAAAACAAAACTTATTGAACATCAAAAAACTTAGTAATGGCAATTTTAAAATCAGTAGCATCAGTTATCGAGACTATGAGTGCAGGAAGGCGATTCCAATCTATTGAGGTCTGAGGGAGAAAGGAGGCATTGAAAGATGAGGTGTTACACTGGGGGACGCCCACTTTTAGATGGTGATTAGTTCGTAGCGAAATGTAAGATGGTTCTAAGAATAATGTTTGACGAAGTGTTGGATTAGAGTGAAAAATGTTTAACAATTTCGAAGAGTGAATCATCATTGAAAAAATTCTGAGCTATATGTCAATTTGGAATCCCCATCCTTTGTTACTTCATTTACAAGCTTAAAGAAAGATAATTTTGTTTTGCCAGAGGGGATGTCACTGCAAGTAGTCGCTAGGAAATTTTTGTTGTTTGCACAAGACGGTGACATGGACCGAGCTTGATGTGCGAAGCCAGAGCATCGGATATCGCTCCAGCAGCGGCACCATAATCACGTCACACACGCAAACGAATGAATGACATCCGATTTCTCATATGCTCGGATGATTGTAGGATGGCCAATGTCATTGAGCTCTAGCGTTGCCTACATCAGTGCGGTCGGTTTTTAGGTTTCGAGCTGTATGCCAACACTGAATGTCGTGCTACAGGTGTGAGTTTAAGAGTACCGTCTGCAACTTCAATCGGTCGAGCTGCGTCCCAGTACGATCGCCAAATGACGACCCGCAAGTATGTTTTCGCTTCGACCACAAAGAATAACCGATCTGCTAGCAGTAAAAGGGCGACAATGGTGGAAATATACTGAATCGCCTTTGTGTGCTTGAAGAGTGGCATGTCTAATTACTACTGAGAAATATTGTAGTAAAAGAGGATGAATACAAAACTCGTAGCCATGAAGCTAGTCATGAGAAAATCCCAACGTCCTTGGACTACACTTGCGAAAATAAACAGCACAAGCTGGACATGCCGAGAATCGAGAGGTCAAGTGTGTACGTCCTACCTTGTTACTCGTTTCGCAAAGTTCCAGGTATGAATCCTGTTGGGGATTTTATTTCTTCATGTTATGTTTTATTACGATCCTAATACACAATCGGCTTTCGCAACGAATGCGAGATGCAGCGGGACGAGCAGCATGGTTACGATGGTCACCAAACAGCCCACATGTGTTTGGAACCGAAACTGTATCGTAATTATGTGATGCAGTAGCATGCAACTAATACAAGAATGCAAATAAATAACAATATTTTTATCACTCCCAATTTATTATTTGAAGATTAAGTAAAGTTGAATCTGTTCTACCTTTTTACATACCTACAGTGATGTTTTGTAGCTCTTGCACTGTCAAAAAAAAAAAACTATTTTTAATGTGTTTATAAAATGCAGGCACAATATTTTTCATTACAATACTTGGGAATCAACTAACGTCTTTGTGCTTTAATGAATTAAGTTAATTAAGATACAGCAGATCCATTCTCTTTTTATGACCCCCTTAACTGCCCTCAGACAGTGATCTAGGCATACCCCCAGAATTTCCTACACATAATACAAAAACCTATAGTAGTGGTTCTCAAATGGGGGTC